GAAGGTCACGGGGCGGGGCCAGGTCACGGGGCGGGGCCAGGTCACCGGGGCGGGGCCAGGCCGCCGCGCTCTTCCTTGCTGGGCACCTGTCCCTGGCAGCGGGTTCCGCAGTTGCCTCTCTCTCACCGCCGCCCACTTTAATAGATTTATCACACATTTTCAGTTCTTATTATGTCTATATTTCTTGCTTGCAGTATATTTGAAAGCAGATAAATGTCGTTTAAGAGATCAATCAATGCCAAATCAGCTATGGACAGAATGAACATTACTCGAGAATATGCCTGCTGCACAGATGAACATTAAAAAACGTAAGGGATTTAAATTTGTGATTTCCATATTTTGTGACTGCCCACTTTAGAGAGAATCCTGATTACACATGTCATTTTAACTATGGGTTTGATGAACTCAACAAAAAATTAGGTATCAAATTATTAAACTGCTGTGAAGTGGCTGAATCCCACCACTGGAAAAACTGGGATGTTAAAATTGTAGAAAGTATTTGATTAGTGATGTGGAAATTATGCTCAGGAGTTTCTTCATTTATTTCCGCTCACATCCAACTTTGAGGACTTTTTGATACCTTTGTATATTGCTTTCCAAGTAGTTGAAATTCTTAACAAAACTCAACAGACTGCTGCTGCTGTTATTAATACTAATCACTTGGAAGCCTATCTCCTGGAGAAAAAAAGAGTTTTGAGAGGCAATATTGTCTATTAGTTAAGATCAGATAACTCGCTGTATCACTACAAGCTTTTGAGTAAGTCAACATTCCTGGGCCTCAGTTTTCTCATCTATGAAATGGAAATAAAATTAAAACCAAGCTCATTGTCTTTGAGTTGATTTTGATGCTATAGGACAGAGCAGAACTGCTCTTTAAGGTTTCTGAGACTCTGAAACTTGATAAGAGCTGACACCACCACCAACTCCTTGCCATCGAATGGATGCCAACTCCCAGCAACCTTATAGCACAGGGTAGAACTGCCCCTGTGGATTTCTGAGACAATAACTCTTTACAGGAGTAGAATGACTCATCTTTCTCTCACAGAGTGGCTGCTGTATTTGAACTGTCAACCTTGTGGTTAGCAACCAATTACAAAACAGTAGGCCACTAGGGCTGCTTAAAATGGGGACAGTAAATATTTAATCTATGCCAGCTGTTGTTAATATGTGGATGTTTGATTTTGTTAGCCAGCCAATGACTGTGGGCAGAACACAGGGTCTATGTGAACCGCACATTGGCATCTTACTGGGCCCTTCTCACCAAGTATGATGAGTGAGAGGACCAAATATCTCAGTGACCTGAGACAATTCTTATCTATTCATTACAGTAGCAACTTCTCAGTGAGTCAGTGAGTGCTGGTGATTCCTATTCATTCTTTCTCTGGTATATATATATATATTTTTTTTTCACTACCTGTGAAAGGTTTAGCATTGGGAATATTAAAGCTTTATTGATTATCTTCTATCAACATGGGCTATTAGCTAAGAGATCTGCTGTCACAAACAGAGGCATTTGTCTCAACAGTCTAGAAATCCCCCTGGCTGGAAAAATATTTCATCCTAATTAACACAGAGCTACACAGGGACAGGGAGGCAGGGTCCGGCTCCCTGTGCTGAGGAGACAGGAACGAAAGAAAGAGCCCAGGGAGGGGGACATCTGCAGAGCAGCTCAGGTGGTTGACAGTTGCCTTTGTTCAGAGCCCAACTTCTCAGAGAGAAGATTTTTTTTCTCAGCTGAGTGGGCTTGCGGGGGAGGGGACTGGCTGGAGAGTTGCTTAGCAGTGAGATTTTGTGGCACCTGATTGTCAAAGAGGCAGGCAGCCCATCAGTTCCCTGCCGTGCCCTGGCCAGCTGAGGACTATCATCCAAAGGCTGCCAGTGGGAGGGAAGGACCATAAAGAGAGAGGGCGAAGTTTAATCATTGAACTGAACAAGCTGGACACACCTCTTCCCCAGCACCGAGCTTTCCAGAAGGTCTCTCGGCCTGCACTGGGTGTCAGTGGCCTGCACTGGGTGTAAGCGGCACCCCTGCCACCTGGGGGAAAACACAGCAGTCTCTGCTCAGCGCCACGGCCACCAAACTTAGGGAAGATTTTTGCAGTACACTCCGTGATGGAGGCCCTGGTGATGGAAGACCCGGGGTTGGAGGACCCAGTTGAGAAGGTAAGAGGGCTCAATAAGTCTTAGATGTGCCTTGTTCTTTCTTCACAGACACGCCAATCTCCTGTGTGTATTTTAAAAAGTAAGAGATTATTATAAAAGACATAGGAAGCTTAGGCTTTCTGTAAAACTCTTAAAGGTGAAGAGGAAGTAAATCTCCCACACTACCTGCCGTCCTGTGCCTTGGGTTCCACGTAGAGCTTCCTGTCAGTCAGAGCCTGAAGGGGCTGGGGAGAAGGCCGTAGGAAAGCCTGAAGAGGCTGTGGGATGTGCTGTGAGGGGTGATGCTCCGTAAGGCAGAGGAGAGTCCTGTTTAATGACGTTTTAAGAAGCTTTGAAGCAGATCTGATTCTTCATGTGTTTGAAAGACTGCAAATAGGGAGCCAATAGGGAGGTATAAGTTTTAACATACAATAATAAAAATATTTATTATTGGCATGTGCCATTTGCCAATGGTAAGGGTCCCTGAGTGACACCTGTAGGTAGTTGAGTCCAAACCATTGTTTGGGCTCAGACATCCGAACAATTGTGACCGTGGTGCAGGCCTGGGTGGTATTTCATTCTGTTGTACATAGCTTCGCTGTGAGTTAGAACGACCTAGACAGCGTCTAACAACAACCATCTAAAGGCTGGAATTTTGAAATCAAACCCAACCAGTAGAAGTGCGATGGAAAGGTCTGGTGATCTGTCTCTGCAAGTTAACAGCCAAGTAAACCCTCAAAAGCACAGTTCTGTTCTGTCAGAGTTTGGTTTTTGTTTCTGGCATTTGCCCGGTGGCATCTGAATAGTGTGCACTGTTTTGTCACTTTACTCATGAAGCCTGTCTCTAGCATGATTAAAGCTCTGGTGAATGGCCTCTGGCCATAGTCGAGGGATAAGAATACTTGCTATCAGAAGGAGACCATTGTAAAGTCAGTTACGGAAATGTAGTGTAAAATGGAATAGTTTATCATTTGATCTCCCCTTTGACCCATTGTAAATGCGTTCTAGTTTTTAATATTGTCTGCTTTCTTTTCTTTTTGCTTCAGATGAATTTGTCACTAAAGATTCCAAGTTCATTTCAGTTTTACTTTTCCTCTTTTTATGTGTGCTTTCTTTTCAATTGAGGTTTTCTGTTTGAATTTGTTATTGTTTTGTAAGTTTTTCTGTCTATGAAATCCAGGATAGGTAAATCTATAGAGACAGTAACTGGATTAATGGTTTCTTGGGGATATAGCAGGGGCAGTTGGTGGGAAATGGGGAGCTAATAACAATCAGTACAAGAATAAAGGAAAGCTCTAAAATTAATTGTGATGATTGTACAGCTAGCTCTTTTTAATATAATCGAACTATTGAATTGTATGATATGTGAATTATCTGAGAATACAATGATTTTTTTAAGGAAGAAACCTGTCTCTAAGATCCATTTTATGGTGGACTAGGTAAAGAGAAAGGAGCCCTACTGGCACACTGGGTTAAGCACTGGACTGCTAATCACGGATCAGCAGTTTGAAAGCACCAGCGCCACCGCTGGAGAAAGATCAGGCTTTCTGACCCTGCAACAATGTACGGCCTCCAAAACCCACGGGCAGTTCTGCTCTGCCCTTAAGGTCACCGCCACGAGTCAGAATTGGCTACACCATGATCCTATAGCATCGACTCAATAAGAGTGAATTTGATTTTTGATTACATTTTGATTATATTTCTTTGAATGACATGTACTCATTTCCATTAGCAATTCTCACTCACTCATTCAATTCCATGGAGCCGATTTTGACTCACAGCGACCCTGTAGGGCAGGGTAGAAAACTCACTGTTATAGAATTGATCCCAACTAATGGAAACCCTATAGAACTGAGTAGACCTGCTCTTTTGCAAAGTCTCCAAGATGGTAAATCTTTACTGCAGCAGACAGCTTCATCCTTCTCCCCTGAAGTGGCTGGTGGGTGTGAACCACTGACCTTGTGGTGAGCAGCCTAATGTTTATCTTACTGTGCATGATGTCTCTTTTCTTTCTTTTTAAAAAAAATCATTTTATTGAGGGCTCGTACAATTCTTATCACAATCCATACACCCATCCATTGTGTCATGCACCTTTGTACATTTGTTAACATCATCATTCTTAAAACATTTGCTTTCTACTTGAGCCCTTGATATCAGCTCATTACCCCACCCCCCCCCTACTCACCCCCATGAACCCTTGATAATTTATAAATTATTGTTATTTTGTCATATCTTATACTATCTGATGTCTCCCTTCACCCACTTCTCTGTTGTCCATCCCCCAGGGAGGAGGTTATATGTAGATCCTTATAATCAGTCCCCCCTTTCTACACCACCTTCCCTTCACCCTCTGGTATTGCCACTCTCACCACTGGTCCTGAAGGGATCATCTGTCCTGGATTCCCTGTGTTTCCAGTTCCTATCTGTACCAATGTGCATCCTCTGGTCTAGCCAGATTTGTGAGGTAGAATTGGGATCATGATAGTGGGGGGAGGAAGCATTTAAGAATTAGAAGAAAGTTGTATGTTTCAAACCCTGCAACCTGACTGGCTTGTCTCCTCCCCACGACCCTTCTGTAAGGGGGTATCCAGTTGCCTACAGATGGGCTTTGGGTCTCCACTCTGCACTCTCCCTCATTCATGATGATATGATTTTTTTTGTTCTTTGATGCTTGATACCTGAATCCTTTGACACCTCGTGATCACACAGGCTGGTGTGCTTCTTCCATGTGGGCTTTGTTGTTGCTGAGCTAGATGGCCTCTTGTCTGTCTTCAAGCCTTTAAGACTCCAGACGCTATATCTTTTGATAGCCGGGCACCATCAGCTTTCTTCACCACATTTTCTTATGCACACATTTGTCTTCAATGATCATCTCAGGAAGGTGGGATATGATGTCTCTTTTCATACTCCAAAGGAGGCCATAAGTATCCACCTCAATAGCTGTGTAGCACCTTCTGAACTCTCAGTTCCCCATATTTTCTCAGGAGTTCTGTTACTTAAAAGTAGTTCTAATGAATGATTTTTACTTCCTCTGTGTCTCAGATCGCAGAGAGCCTTTGAGAATTCATATCACAAAGCTGTGCCCTGATTCAAGATTGCAGCTTTCCAATGGGTAATGGGTGGGGGTTTTGGTCTTGACTACCTGTCCCGGTCCCTGTTCCAGGTGGACAGATTCCTGTATCACATGCGACTCTCCGATGAGACCCTCTTGGACATCATGGCACGATTCAAGGCCGAGATGGAGAAGGGCCTGCGGAAGGACACCAATCCCATGGCCTCAGTGAAGATGCTGCCCACCTGTGTTAGGCCCATTCCGGATGGTCCTGGTGAGTGGACCTGGGGCTGCAGGGAACCCACCCCTGGTCCATTTGGTTCCTCCTGGCTGGTGGGTACCTGACCTTTAGTCCCAGACGCTGGCTTACCCTTCCAGCTTTCTCTCCACTCCACCTTGGCCCTCCCCACTCTCCTGGATTTTATGCTGTACTGAACACCTCTGGGTTCCCCACACAGATGCATCATGTGTTTTCTCTGCCCACCAGGCTCACACATCCTGTTCCCCTTCTTTCTGGAACATTCTCAACTCAAAACTCACTGCCATCAAGTCCATGCTGACTCATAGAGACCCCCTGAGTTTCTGAGACTGTAACTGTCTTCGAGAGAAGAAAGTCTAGTCTTTCTCACTCAGAGCTGCTGGTAGTTTTGAACTGCTAACCATGTAGATCATAGCCCAACACATAACCACTACACCAATAGGGCACCCAGTGAGTGCTTTTATATCCAATGCAGAGATTACTGTCTCCACCTGGAAACCATTCTCATACCCTGCTAGCTGCTTGTCAGTAATATGACCCTGAAGTCTGTGGATGAATCTTCCAACCAGGAGTTCCATGAGTTCAGGTCTATATCTTATTCTCCAGTGTTCTGGGCACTTAGAAGACTGTCTGATGCATAGTATGAACTCATGTATTTGTTCAATAGATAATAAAGGGTATTTTGCCAGAGGCATCTAGATTCTACATATGGATAGTAAATAGTGAAATGAAGGATGATGTAGCAAAGAGAATTAAATGGTAATTAAAGCGATCTGGCTTCTAGGTATGGCCCTGTCTCTCTTCCGTGACAAATGTTTAACCTCAGTTTCTCTATCTATAAACACAGTTGACCTATGTGTTTATTTCCTATTGCTGCTGTAACAAATTACCACAGATTTAGTGACTTAAAATGACACAAACTTATTCTCTGATAGTTTTAGAGTTCAGGAATCCAAAATGGATCTCAGAAGACTAAAATCAAGGTGTTGGAAGGGATGCAGTTCTTCTAGATCTCTAGAGGAGAATCTGTCATATTCTTAACCTCTGGATAAAGTCAGAGGGAAAGGATTTGAGATTTACTGAGCACTTACTGTGGCTATTGGTTACCAAGGACTCACAGTCATGCACAATCCCTATAACAATCCTGTAGCTGTTAACCAAATGAAAGCACTGTAGATCCAGGAGTTTCTCTAACATCAGGGTCTCAGTCCCCAAACCAAACTTTAGAAGAAGAGTTGGGGCTCTTGCAGGAACAAGGCCTGAAGTTTGTAAAACTGTTGGGTGCCTTTATTGGAGTAGAGAGGTTCTGGACTCCTCTGAGGAAATGTGTGGGTCAAAGGTAGCTTGGTTTTGCTGATGGGAGGGCCCTGGCTTGTGATGTGATGGGAAAGACTTTATTCCTTCTCTGGTAGGTGGGGGTGGGGACTGCTAGTGTGCCACCCTGGAGAAGCATAACTTTGAAGACATGGTCCTTCTTTGAAATCTTGGCTAATACCGGACTTATCCTTGATGGGTCATCCAGGCCATTGAGAAGAGGCCATGGGGTCGATACCTGTTCTCTGGCTCATGGGTTGTGTTTGGCAGGTGGCACATAGGAAGGAGTGTGGTAGCAACAGAGGAAGGGGTGGGGTAGCAACAGGGCTAAGTCCTCCTGGCTTCTTGTGCCGTGGCTCCTTCTCCAGATATGGAGAAGGCATGTCTCCGGGAGCTCGGGAGAGTAGCCTTTGGCAGTCTGGAGGTAGCAGGAGCAGGATGTGTTTTCCTCGCTCTGGCTGCTTCAGGAGGACTTGGAAGTCTTTCTGACAATGTTTTTCAAGCTTGTTGGGAGACACCACCTCCCTTCTTCATTGCACTCAGACCTTCTCATTATGCAGGAAATCTCACTAGGATTAAAAGGCTCTGTTGTATTGTAAATTGGTTGAAGGTATCTCACCAGCAATTTTGTTGTGTGAGGTGCTGGGCCTGAAGACCTAATTAGCCAGGGGCCCTTGGAAGTTCTAGGACCATCCGTGCAGCTGGCCTCACCAGTAAAAGGGTGGTACTCACTTTGTCCCACTGACTTGCAGAGTTGTTAGGATCAGGTGAGGTTGTGTGGATGGAATGCTTTGATTTCCCTAAAATGTTGTCCCAAATTCTTCAGAGAACTTGTGAGCAGGAGATGTAATTTCATCCTTACTAACAAAAACCAAACAAACAAAACTCTCTTAATCCCTTGAGAAGGATCCCTGGTGGTACAACAGTTAAACACTCTGCTCTTAACTGGAAGGTGGGCAGTTCCATCCTACTCAATAACTACATGAGAAAGACTTGGTTGTTTGCTCTATAACGATCACAACCTAGACCATGTGTGCTGTTGTTGTTGTTGTCAGGTG